CAAAACTTTAACAACATTTTACAATATATTCAATTGTATCAAAAAATAGTATTTTAAATAACTTCCAATTTATTTTTTACCCGAATCTAGCTTTCAAGAGAAAAAAGGGAGGGAAGAGCAAAACTCAGCAGACAAACCCAAGTTGGAATTTAACTTTAAGATATTTGACTTTCAAGCAAAAGCCTGAAAATTGTTTACTATAGAAAAATTATCCTGATAACACAGGTAGAATGATTGGTCTAACATAAACTCCAGCATCAGTTAATTGTATGCCTTACCGTTTGCAGCTTCAATATTGAGACAAAAAAAAATTGTTTTCAAAAAAATCTATCCCATGTTCCGAACAAACTGATTTCCGAAATAATAATTTAAAAAATTCCGCATTTTTTCATTTTAAATTTCCTGTTATAATTTTTGTAGAACAAGCACAAGCGATTGAAACAGGTAGTAAAGGCAAAAAGTGTTTGTATTTATATTTAATACGTTGAAAATTTGGTAGAATTTAATTGAAGCGGTCAGGCTCTCTTAAATTTTTGTCGCATCTATTCTGAAATACGAACAAAACGTCAGGCCAAAAATTATTTATCACTGAAACAACTTTCACGGAATTTTTAGAATCCCAGTTACCATTAAAAGAGATTTCAAGTCTCTTTCAGCCTCTAAATAGTTTTTTAAAGACTCTTAGCGGCACACAGAAACAAAGTTATCATCATTTCGTATATATGCGGTTTCGCTGAGCTCCCAAATGTCCCTTTTTTGCAATGTTTTTCTTTCTCAAAGAAAACAGCCGAAAAAGAAACAATAATCCTAAAAATAGTAACTCACTTCCACTAAGAGCAGAAAAAGATCAAGAAAAGTGTGGAATCAGTATGCTGCGAAACTTTGAAAAAAAAACATTCTCGGTTTTTCTAAGTTTAGAAATTTTTGAAATATCATTTTCAGTTTTTGACACTGTGCGAAGCACATCTGGTTCATCTGATGACTACCATTTAATATTTCAAAAGAACAATTGGTATAGAACTATACTGCAAAAAATTGGGCAATTGGTTTTCCAAACAATCATTTACGCGACAAACAAGCCAAATTACTGGGAAAACAATGCAAAATATCAAACCTAATCAAACCGTATCTTGATCCAGTCGCGTAATTAAAGGTTTTCATTTATTCTGCAACCAGGAGATGGTATACGGATATGCAAGTTTTTTTTGTTGAACTACAATCACGACCGAAAAAATTTTCCGCACATTTTTTTTATTCATTTGTTTATGTCTTTCCAATATATTTTTAATATGCCCTCTTTTGCATTAATTTGAAACCGTCCATCAAAAATTGTTCACGCCGATTGTTCACGCCAATTGTTCACGCCTTTGAAAAAAATGCCTTTCTTCTTGCCCGAACGTAAAACAGAAAACCAGGCAAATTGAAACTTAGATTCGGAAAAAAACAGAGTTTGAATCAAAAAAGTTCAATTAAAATTTTAAGTTCAGAATCCTCCATTAAGTTGAACGACCTTATTAATTCGATTTCTAATGCAGTTACCGAGGAGGCGGTGCAAGCGATGCCCCTGCAGATAGAGCTTAACGCGGATGAGTGAGAAGCAAATCGAGGAAATGTAGAAATTCTGTCAGCATAAGAAAAGTACTCTATCAAAGAATAAATTATTTTTTAACCCTGTTTTGGGTAAATGGTGAATTGCTGGAAAACCGGTTGAAAGTTTTCTGATGCACATTGAACTTCAAAATTTGAGCAGAGTTTTTTTTGCAAGGATCTGAAAAATTCGATGAAGATATAATGTCTTCAGTAATAGTGAGGTTTATATATTTTCATCACGAAAGTTAGCGTATGGCGGAAAACGTTCTTTGAAAGAAGGAATTAACCGGTTGAACTAAAAAAAAAGATGGTTTCAATAAAGTTTACCACTATTGGATGCTTCTGTGAAAAAAGTAGATTTCAAAAACGAGACTGCTGTTACTAAAAAGTTGTGCTGTTTCTATAACAATGACATTGGAAAAAATTTTCATCCCACATGGATAACCCAAATGATTTGAGAAAACTGAAAAATCCTGTGATTGAAAAAATTACGGGAAACAAAAATTGATGCTCAGTCTATGTCCAATGAATACCGCATTAACTGATTCATAAAGAGCAAATGCGGTAAATCATTGAGGGTGTGCAGAAAAATTGAACTGTTCCACATGCAAACAGTGCTAATTTTTAATATCAGTTTGATTAACAAAACTATAACAACATATTACAATTTATTCAATTGTATCAAAAAAATAGTATTTTGAAATACTTCCAATTTATTTTTTACCCGAATCTAGCTTTCAAGAGAAAAAAAGGGGTGGAAGAGCAAAAAACTAAATACGCATACTCATGTCTTTGAAACTTAATCTAATATAATTTTTCAGTGGATTCCCTTGACAAAGAAGTCTCTTGTATCGATTTTTAGCAACAAAAATTGTTTCGTGTCAAAAAGATCACGTTGCCGAATTTAATGGCAAATGTCCTAAAATACCGTGCCAAAAGGAAACAGTCAGAAACCAAGTTAAATTAAAACAGTGATGAAAAACATAGCTTTAGAAAAATGTCGTATCCCTTTTCAAATGGACTTAAGCGAAAGCAACTGACTTGTTGTTGGGAAGCTATTTGGTCTCCATTTTTCGTTTTTGGTCTAAATTTGTTTTTTCTCTGTAAAAACATATATAATTTTATAGATAAGCTTTTGTGCTTACATATTTTCTTATACCAGTTTAATTCTTGAATTTATGATAAATTTCCGAATAGGCTCTAAGTGGGCTTTTTCAAGTGATTTTCGCTTACCCTCTCTATTGATGTATTGTGTGGATTGTTTAAGAATTTGCTGAATAAATGTACTATATATCAGGGGCGGATCTAGGATTTTCTCGAGGGGGGAGGAGGATTTTCAAAAAAATTTCGAAAATCTTAACGACATTTATTTAGGTCAAACAAATTGATTTTCCGAGCTCTCCTAAAGCATTATAAAGAACGTAGATAGACAAATTTTTCAAGAAAAAATTCGCCGCAGGCAAATTTTTGAAAAAAAAACAGGTCAAAAAAGCGGTTTTTGGGCACTTTTTGGAAAAATTTGACACAAAAAAATCGCGCTTTTTTTGGCGCGCGCTCCCCCTCAAAGTTAATATATTGGCGCCAAAGGCGCCTTTAGAAAAATTTTAGGGTCGGTCGGCCAAAAATGGATTTCTTAAAAAGTACCAAAGGGTTAGGCAGGGGGTCGAATACCTGGGGGGGGGGGGGGGATTTGTCCGCCCTTGCTATATATGGAGAAATGAACTCTCTCAAGGTCGGAGTTTGTTTGAAAAATTTATTTGAATTTTTAAGAGCTCTTATTTTAAAAAAAATCCAAGATAGAACAATTTTTATAAGAGAAGTGGAATTTCTTACGTAACATCAAAAAGTATTATTAATTGTGAGTGTTCATTTTCCAAAAAAACTTTTTTTTTTTTTCATTTTTTTGCTGGTCTGGCTTACTAACTTTAAGAAAAATGGTTAATTCAATCGCAAGATCCAAAAAGTAGCTGTAATTTTTCTGCTACAGCAGTGCTTGCAACAAAAGCAGAGTTCTCTGCTTTTGTTTTCTTATCTGCTGAGTAAAGTTATGTCTTTTTTTCGTTGCGGCTGAACTAAAATTTAGCGGTATAGCCTTCAGCAATTTTTTCCACCTAATTTTGTTTTTCATTGCTTTTACCTCAGCGTACAGTATTTTCAAATAATTGAAAAATAATGTGCAAATCAAACCTAAGAGTTGTTTGTTCTAGGAGTTGTTTTGTGTACCGACGAATATAAAAGATTAACCCTATATCCTTTTGATACCTTCCTAAAACAAGATCAAAATTTAAAAAAACCTTCAAGTGCGGCGCTTTAAGAGCCTCAAGTCGTACTCGAAAAAGTACACAAACAATCCCGTAAATGATTTTGCTTTCTTTGTTCAAATATTATAGATGCCATTTTTTCAGTCAGAATTTTTGTGCAGAATTCTTGTGCACGGTTAATTAATTTTTGTTTCTTGTTAAAATAAATCATGTGCTGAGGTTGAGAAGAATGGTAGTGTTATAATTCAAAAAAACATGTGGCTCATTACTTTTTTATTGACACTTTCAATTCACTAAACTTTGAAACATTCAAGATTTAGTAATGATTAAATGGCAATTTGAATCAATTTCGATGGCTATAATTTTTTTTTCGAATGCAAAAATGCAATATAGGTCAACCTTACGACCTTCTGCCTTATACCAAATGTCAAAACCCTCTCACGTGATGAGCAAATGAACTCTATTCAACAGTTATTTATTTCTTTCAACAAACGATTCTGAATGATTTCATCAAATACTCACAAGTCAGTTCTTCAGAGCATAAATTTGCGCATGCACTTGCTGCAGAGAAAGTTGGAAGAGTCAACAGTCGCAACGAAAAATAGTTTTCTGATAAAATTAACTTTCGGACTTCAAAGAAAATTTTATGCCGTGAACTCTCGAACTTCCCAAATTTTATGATTGACTTTTATACTAAAATTAGCCATCATTATATTTTTATTCCGCTGGGAAACTTCAATTTAAAATCCACTATCGAAACAGTCGTTTTTTAGGACCTTAGATGTTTGCTGTGCGATAAGCCTTTCTTTTGACTAAGGAAACGAATTTAACAAAGGTTATCAAAAGTCAACCTGCCAAAAATCAAGTTGAGCGTGAGCAAGTTTTAGTATTTTCTCTCGAAAAAAAAATATTAAATCATCAGGACCTCTATATTAACATGTTCATCAAGTGGCCTACATGAGTGTCTTCTGTACTTCATTGACACTTAAAAATCATTTTCAACTGTTGCAAATTATCTTCGTTCATTGCCACTTCAAAATTCAATTCGTTCACAACACTACAAAATTCACTTCGCTCATTTACACGTTGAAATTCATCTCGCTCATCTTGTTAGTTGGGTGTTTGCTCTTGTATAAGAATTATAAACAATTAATTTTAATTTTGAATTATAAGCTCGACAGATGAAAACGAAAAATAAAGATAACTGTTTTGAAACAAGTTCATCTAATCAAAGAGTATAAATTGACAGTGTTAATTAACTTGACTAGTTCATGTTTTCAAACTATTGCGTTTCATTGGCTCCAAGAGTTCAAGTCACTATTAATCATGTCAGTTGTTTTAACTGCTACTTCAAAGTCCATTCGTTGGTTATTGTTGAAGCTCTCTACATTAGGCATCTCCAACTCAATAGGTATAGCACCATGCGGCAAGGGGTCATCTTGCGACTCCATTGCTTCTGTCTCTAAACTTGATTGCATAAATGGCATTTTCTCCACGTTTTTGATCAATGCGTTCGGAATATTCATATGCACTAAAGCATCTATTGACCTACTGTTGGAAGAACTGCTTTCTTCGTCATTCACACATTCGCCGGGTTCTGGAAAAATTAGATGACTCTCTCCTTGCCTCGTAAATAGCTGTGCTTGAGGGTGAGAAGTTGAATGACCGACCCCTGGTTGCTCAGATTTACACATTCTTGGGTCCCTGAAGTTTGACACTGTGTTGTGAGCTTGATAAGTACGATTACCCTTATCAATATCTGGTTGCCTATATTGCTTCCAGTGTTTTTGCTCGTCGCGTGAATGCCATTCATAATCCCGATGGTGGCGTTCGCGGTCTTTATAATGGTCATCGTGATCTCTGTCGTGTTTCCAGCCTCTATCGCCTTGCACATGGTCTCGCCTACCGTCGTAATCATGGTGTCTACTTTCATTGTGCAGATCAATTCCCACTGTTCTATCATCATATCCTACATCTTTATGCTCTGGTTTCTCTGATTTACGGTAGCTACTGCTACTCTCACCACTTTTAGGGAACGGCCGATTAGGACGCTCGAAGACTTTTGCCCTAGCTTCGTTGTGACCCACTGGCGAGTGCGGTCTGGCTGGTCTTGCGAAAATTGTGGCACGATGAACGGTTTTCAATTTCTTATCGAACACTCTTTCTCGAACTTTCTTTGATCCAGATTTAGAACCTTCTATTTCAGGACTGAGCGGATCTCGCTCTGATGAGGGCTTCGGGTCATTCTTGCGACGCTTTCCAGCTTCTGCTTGTTGCTTCTTTTTGATACTCTTCATATATATGGCATGGAGGGATTCCGCATTGAGCTTGCTAAACTGGGCCACAAAGTTCCAGAGGTCTGTTTTTCTGTCCTGGATTTTTTCATGGTCTTTCTCCTCTTGCAAGATTTCAATTACTCGGTCGCCAACTTTGCCCAGACTCTTACGACACACTCCGCTCATGTCTTCTAAGCCTCCTTTTTTCGATTCGCTCGCAGAACCTTGCATGAGCTTTTGCAAATTTTTTTTGACGGATCGCATCGACTCTTTGCACTAAAGCAGACACCACATTATAAAAATTTTTGAAAAACAACAGAAATAAATAAATCCTGGAAGTCAAGAAATAACGCAAAAACAATGCTTACTGCTTTGAATGTATCAGACTTCACGTCTATTTCTCTAACGCTCACAGAAATTGCGTTCAACGCGTTGATTTTAGACTGGCTCCCCGATGGCGGAGCGGAGTGTGCTTTGGTGTCATTGTGGTCGTCGTGTTCTTGTCCTGGAATCCACATGAGTTTCAATGGTGACGATAGGTTGTAAGGGTGCTTGGCGTGTGACTTGTGAGATTTCGCCTTTACCTCGCCCTCTTCTGAGCCATCGTCTCCGTCCTCATCCGAGCTACTGCTATCCTCGTCTTCAATCTAAATAGCAATGGCAACTGCTTTCATTCTGCTGACAACTCATTTTTTCCCAGCTGAGAAGTCGATAGTTCGTGGTGTATTCACGCTTCACTTACAGCTGAGAAATTTAAATTTTTTAAAACGCCAAATGGCTTCTTTTCAAATCCCAGCTCACAAAAATATATTACAAAATTCATGCTCACATACGAGATTGGAAAATGCCGTTGAGTTTGAGAGCAATATATCATTTCTGATGTACGGTTTTAACGCCATCTTGGAAAACGGAAGATGGTGTGGGAAACTCATGATTTATGTATTTTCAACTATTTTGGAAGGAGATAGTAGAACTTAGAAATTTGCAAGGTGGATCCACAAAAAGAAGACACCGTATATTCTTATGTTGATATACTGTTTTAATTTACTTTTGTCAACAATTTCTCATTAAATGCCTCATTACCTCTTCCCTTGACTTGAACACTTTTCGCTTTTTAGCTGCTGATTCCGCAGCTTCTCGTTCTTTCTTCTCCCTTTTCAAGCTGTCCTTTTTCTCCTTCTTCGCTTTGCGTTCCCCACTTTTTTCATTCCCCTTGCCTGGACTACCTCCATTCTTTTTCGGATTAACTTCTATGTCAAGTAAGCGTAAGATATACTCGACTCTGGCTGCAATCTGTCTAGTTTGTGGCTTCTGATCCGATTCCAGAAGCATTTTGTCATGCAACTGCAGTCGGTCGTCATTTCTAATTGCATCCCAGTTTCCATTGCCATAGAGATAAACTCCAATTATGAGACTATTGTCTTGTTCAGCCTCCCAAATCACATCCCAATTAGGAAGCCTTTTCTTCGCACATTTCAAATTGTAGCTGAAAACAAACCAGGTTAAACATCTGTTCGTGTGTTTTTATAAATTCAACCAAAATGATTCCCGCATGCTTACTTGTAAGGCGAATCTAGCACAGATATTGTCTTCACTAACGCCTCGTAGTCATCTTGCGATTTGATCAGTTGTGTTGCATTTACATGGGTGCCTCTGAACTTAAACGTGGCATTTTTCGACGTCTTTACTCCTGCGTTCTCTTTGTTTGCTTCGCTCATCGCCATCTCACAATTCTCTTTCAACTTGTGCCAAAATCGCGTCAAATCATTCATGCTCTTTTCGTGCAAGTCGGCGTCTTCTGCAACTTCTTGCAGTCGGTTCTCAGCATTGGGGAACTTTTTGAAGCTTCTGATAAACGCACGCACTTCAATGTCAGACCAGTTGCTGAATTCTTTGCTGTACTTCTTAGCAGTGGCCTTTGACGACAGATTGCGTGCGGAAGAAGCAGAAATGGCACCAAGTGTTTCCTCGTCACTTTCACTCTCTGAAGAGGACGAATTGTCACGAGCAGCTGACGAGAAATTCAACTGGAACGCTTTTGTCTAAAACGGAACAAATGACGTATAACTCGATTAATTTAGGTCAAAATAGGTCAAATTCTTGACATTTAGCACCCCTCAAATCCAAATATTGACCTTTCGCTGAGAATTTGTTCTGAGTAAAATGTAAATTTGTTGCTCAACTTTATTTTATTAATAATATCATAAATTCTACGACTAATAAGCCATTAGGTGACTTAAATTTAAATATGTCAGACCAGTTGCTAAAAGACTTAATTAGCGCTCTGAACGAAATGCTACAATGCAGCATATGTTTTGACGAGTTGACGGATCCGCGCCAGCTCCAATGCGGCCATACATTCTGTCTCAATTGCTTGGAGGTAAGGAACGGTCTACTTAAAAAAATCTATGTTCAAATTATCATCAAGGAAATCTATTATGTCGGGATATTTTTAGTCCTGGTCTGGAAGATACAAGAGCTCGTTCAAGTGCCCCAATTGTCGCCAATCAGAGCGTTACACAGTAGAATCGCTTCCCAGGGACTTCCAGTGCCGGCTGATCAAAGAACTCGTGGAAAAACATAATAGCCTTGTCACAACTCCAACTGGCGACAAGGAGAGCAATGAGACAGATGAGCAACACACGAACAGTGATTTGGTGTACAAAAAAGAGTTCGACATGTTGCTTGCAGAATGCAAAATGTGCTGGGAGAAACAAATGGTTGAGAGGGTTCAAATGAAACAAGAAGTCCACGCAGACTTCGACGCCCATGTCAAGACCCTGGAACGACTCATTAGAATATGGCAGATAAGAATCAAGCAAGCAATTGATGACCACTTTCAAAGCCAGGAATTCGCACCTCATTTGGACCTTTTGAACAAATTGAAGCAAATAGAGACTACAATGAAATCAACGAGAGCCGACAAAACAGCCCTAAGCACTGCTCAATTTGACCTTGAAGGAGTTCGACTAGCATTAACACGTTCCGAAGAGGCAAACAAATTGCAAAAACCATTTGTATTAAACACTTTGGACCCGACTACATCATTCGAACATTTGGACCGGCTTAGCGGAGTAACGGTTGTTGCTTCAAAAGGAGAACTGGAAATAAACGATATTCAAGATAACTTGCAAGTAGTTGGCACATTTGCTATACAAGCGGATTCCTGTCAGATATCAGATGCTCGACTTGTGGACGGCATTTTGTATGTATCGGACCTTCGAAATAGTGCGATCTATTCTATCAACGCGTGGACAGGCACAATGATTCAGTCTACAAGTCAATTTTCTTTTCAGCATAGCATTCTCTTTCCTCAGTCGTTAACTGTGTCGAAAGCAGGCTATTTGGTAGTTGAAGAAACAACTTGCACAAAACAGTTATTCAGTGAGTTTAACAGCAACGCTTCTTCAAAAAAGGCTATTCGATCTTCCGTCGATCTGATTGATCCCCGAGATATCAGGCATCTCGTACAAGAGAGAGGCAACTTAAACACGTTAAAGAGCAAACTTGAACTCTTATGGAAAGAGTCAGACTACGAACAAAAAGCCATCAATTTGACAGATACCAGACGCCTTTTGTTTCAGAATTTTAAAGCCAAATGGATTCAACAAACTGACAACTATGTGTTAGCTACCGGATATCACACAAACATGGTCATTTACATCGGCGATAAACAGGATTATTGGTACAAAGGACTGAACGAAAATTGCGGCCCGAAGTCTGCTATGGTTGGCGGTAGCGAGATGATCTACATCTGTTGCACTGACGCAAACCATATTCACAAACTGACGAGAAGAGGCACAGTCACTGGAACTGTATCACTTGAATATACTAAAATTTCCAGGCCAATATCAATTTCTTACCGAGATTCAAATCATTTATTAATAGTCGATAAAATTGGCAGAATATATACCTTGAAATTCTAATGTTCAGAATAATCTTTTCAGAAAAAAATCTAATGTTTCCGTATAAACTTTTAAAATACTAACTTTAGTACGCTGACGTGGAGGCAAGAACATTTCCGATTCGGCTTTGGCTGATTCTTCTTCTTGCATCTTCTCTCTGACAGCAGCAGGGATTATTTCATCCCAATCTTGCTTCTCCGTCAGCTGTTTACCGTCATCGTCTTTTGTCTCCTCGATTTCCTCATCTTCGTCATCGTAATTGAAGTTAGCAACTTTGAATCCAGCAAGAAGCTCGTCTCCTACTGTTTGTGGTTGATCGCTTTCATCACGCGTCTCCGCTCTTTGAAGAAAATCGTCAATATCAAAATCGTCAGTTAAATCTTCCTCTTCGCCATCGGCTTCTTTGAACAGCTCTGCAGCTCCAAATTTTAAGATTGAGTTCAGCTCTTCTTTGTTAAAAGGCTGTAAATTTACAACTATTAAACCACAGTACCCAAAATTAATTAATTCTGATTGTAATCAACCTACATGTTTTGACTCTGATTTTTCATTTACAACCGTTCTTCCTGAAGTATCCATTCGTTGAATTACTAGATGATCCAATACCATTTTCTTTTTTGCTCGTTCAATTATATCTTCTTCTACAGAAAACTTAGTAACAAGCCGGTAAATATTGACTTGTTTCGTTTGACCTATCCGATGCGCTCGCGATTGAGCTTGAATATCATTTTGAGGGTTCCAGTCAGAGTCAAAAATGATGACAGTATCAGCGGTTGCTAAGTTAACTCCCAGACCCCCAGCACGTGTTGACAACAGAAAACAAAAATCTTTCGAGCTTTCAGCGTTGAAACTATCAAGCGCCTGTTTTCTCTGATCTCCAGTTATTGAACCATCTAGTCGCTAAAAAAAAACGTTTAGAGTTCTCGTTCACGAAATTTGCTCCAAAAATTTTGCATAACGAAGAACATGTGTGCTTTTTCCTAGCCGAAAATTAAAAATTTTCAATGAAGACGGAACTTCTCGTTAGCTCGCAGATCACTATATTTAATTTGCAAAACACCACAATCCAACAGGTCGAGAGCAGACTTAGTAGGATCTATCCAACAAACGTATATTCAAAAATTGAAGCAACCTGAAAACTCAGTAAATCGAAGAACCACAATTTCTATGCAGAACGCCCTCGTTTTCTATGCAGAACACCATATCTTGGAAAACCTGCAAAATGACCATTTCTTTGATCTTGACGCCAATAACAAGATTCGTACGGATTAGAATCTTGGGCAGGATTCGTCAGAACAAGAAAGATTGAGGGGAAACATCCGCTTGCCTCAATAAGCAACCACCAAAATCTTCACAGCCTCCGTTCGTTAACAATCAACCATTGAAGCCTTCAAATAAGAATTAAGTTCAAAGTTAACAAACCATAGCATTGAAAATCAATCGAAAACAAAATCTGGGAATCTCGACAAACCACCGGCAGAACCAGTATACTGTAGGAAAACGAACCAAATTTGATATTTGGCCAATTCCAGCCCATCATAGCTATGTAAAACTCCTATTATAAAAATAAGGGCAAAATCGGATCTGGTAGCCCTATTACATTTAGAGCATTTGATCAACATAACGGAAAACGAGTCTAATTTTAAGTCGAAGCTGGAATTTTTTGAAGAGGCAATGAACAAACGATTGGCTAAAGGTCAATATTGACGCAACAGATTAAAACATCGGAAACAAAACTGATCCTCTCAAAAAGAATTTCATTGCCAATCAAGTTTAATCAGATGTACTCAAGAACCAAAGTTGAACTTCACAAGTCATATTTTAATGGAAGGAAATTGTATGAAAATAGCATTAAGACTCACCATAATTTGGATGGACTTTTTAGTTTTGGTCAGAACTGCTCAGCTTCTTGAACACTAAGCTATTCTTTCGATCCATTTCTGAAATTTTGATTTGAATTTATGTACGGAACGCAGCTTAGCAATTTCATGCTTCTGTGCAGAACACTGACTGGGCTGTAGAACTGGATTAACTTGCTCATGTCTGGGAGGCGTCATTAGTTTATTGAAGTCCACAAAACCATTGTACGAATCTTTGCTCTATCAAGAATTTAGGGATTCAAAACATAATTGACATTATTCAAAATTCCTATGATATTCCAATCTCTGATTGAAAATTAGGTTTCCAATCAGAGAATGACAACGGAAGGTTTGGTGAGCTCCACTTAATCCATCTGTGAAGGATTGAGTTTAGTTCTAAATAGAGGAAAAATGATTTGTTATGCTACGAGCTTGAAACAGATTCCTCCCAAAAACAGTAATCAATTATTCCAATTAGACCTGCTGAAAGATGGTATTTTCAATGCTTTCAAATTTGAGTTTATTATGAGAAGCGAACAGCTTAATTTAATCGGCTTTGAGAGCACATTTCGAGTACACAAAGCTTCAAATACCAGCACACAGAAACGGTCGCTAAAAACAGGCTCAAAAACACAGCTCATAGGCAGTCAGATTTACTGAATTGTTATCAGAGAATGTTGTTATTTTGACCTTACTTCTACTTATAAAAAAATAGTCATTTGTTTGTCGAAAAACTAGTTTGCACGACCAAGAAAAATCTTGAATGACATTACAAAAACCACTTATGCGGGATAATTGAGCTCAGCTCTGAAAAGCCTGATAAACTATAATGTTTTTCCGACCACTTTCGAAATCACTTTGAAAGCTTTCATCGAATCAACCATGTTTCCATTCAATTTCAATATTAGGATTGAAAAATTAGGCACAAAAACATCGGATAGAAATCGGCGTGCTGACAGATTCGCTGCTTTAGCGATAGCTGCGTCCTCAGTCGAATTGCATGAAAAAATTTTCCAGGCCAAAACGTTGTTACATTAAGCCTAAAAAATCTTCTTCTACCGTACATCGAAAGTACTCGTATTTGAAGTTTCATTTTTCGCGTGTGGGGTTCTTTTGAAAGTTCTCTTATTACTCACTTTTCTTTTACATTAGAGTTTCTACGCATGAGAATTAATTTCTCATTTGATTGCAAGGACAACATTCAAATCCCGAGAGGTTTGGTTCTAACCACTCAAGCTTGTACGAAAAAAATTACAAACTGGAGAACTAATAAACATTTGCAAACTAACTCGAAGTCTTGGATAAAGAAAAACCTCAAAAAAATTGGGATGGATGAAAAAGCTATTTAATTTTTCATGGTTATAACTAACTATCGAGTTAAGTCATATTCTTTTGGCGCACTTTCGACACACGTGAATATACTTCAGCAATAGGTCTCACCTAATTTGGATGGATTTTTCTTTTTCAGAACTACCCCGTTTCCGTTTATTTTTCAAGTGATTCTGAGCAAGTAATCGAACTAATCCCGAGCACCAAGCCGTTTTGCGGATTCAGCTCTGAAACTTTGATTTGAATTTTTGCACGGAACACAGCTTAGCAATTTCACGTTTCCACGCAGATCACTGACTGGGCTGTGTAACTGTGGATTATCTTGTTAAGGTCTGGCAGGCGTCCTTGGTTTATTGAACTCCACAGAATCATTCGATCAACTTTTGCTCTATCAAAACTTCAGGGATTCAAACACTTATTATTAAAAAAAGTGATCAAGATTTTGATAAGTCAACGATATTCCAATCTCTGATTGTAAAATGAGCGTCAAAAGAGAGATAAAAACGAAAGGTTTGGGGAACTCTACTAAATCCATCAGTGAAAGATGTAGTTTACTTCTAAATAGTGGAAAAAAGATATGTTATAATACGAAACAAATTTCTCTCGAAGGCAGAAATCCATTATTTCTATTAAACCTGCTGAAAAATGGTAAATTCATAGGTCAAAATTAAGCTTATAACGAGAAGCGAACAGCTGTTTCATCAGATTTTAGAGAACATTTCGAGTAAACAAATGTTCAAACACAAACACACAGAAACGGTCGCGAAAAAACACAGGCTCAAAACACAGCTCATAGGCAGTCAGATTTCCTGAATTGTTTAGAGATTGTTGTTGTTTTGTTGTTGTTTTGATCTAATTATCACTATGGAAAATTAATGATTTTTATGTCGAAAAACTAGTTGACACGATCGAGAAAAATCTTGAATGACAAAAAACCACAAAAGCGGGATAATTGAGCTCAGCTCTGAAAGGCCTGTTAACGTATGTTGCTTCTCCGAACACTTTCGAAACCGCGTTGAAAGCTTTCATCGAATCAATCAGTTTTCCATTCCATTTCATAATTAGGACTGAAAAAAAACTAGGAAAGCCACAAAAACAACGGATATAAATCGGCGTGCTGATAGATTCGCTGCTTTAGCGATAGCTGTGTCCTCAGTCGAATTGTATGAAAAATTTTTCCAGACCAAAACGTTGTTACATCAAGCCTAAGAAATCTTCTTCTACCGTACATCGAAAGTACTCGTATTTGATGTTTCATTTTTCGGGTGAGGGGTTCTTTTGAAGGTTCTCTTATTACTCACTTTTCGTTTACATTGAGTTTCTACGCATGAGAATTAAATTCCCATTTGATTGCAAGGACAACATTCAGATCCCGAGAAGTTGGGTTCGGATCATTCAAGCTGATACGAATAAATTTAGAAACGATAACTTGAGAACTACTAGCGCACAAACTTTGCGCAACAAACTTGAGGTCTTTGATGGAGAAAACCTTCTTATAAATTGATGTGACTTAAAAAGCTTTTTTAATGGGTATAACTAACTATCAAGCTAAGCACGCTTTTTTGCGCACTTTAGACACAGACGTGAAATTGCATCAGCAATAAGTCTCAACATAATTTGGAGTTTTTTTGGTCAGAACGACCCAGCTCATAATTATTTTTGAAGTGATTCTGAGCACTTAATCGAACCAATCCCGAACACTAAGCCGTTCTGAGGATTCAGCTCTGAAATTTTTAATTGAATTGTTGTACGGAAAACAGCTTATCAATTTCATGTTTCTGTGCAGAACACTGACTGGGCTGCGTAACTGAGGATTATCTTGCTAAGATCTGGCAGCCTTCCGTAGTTTATTGAACTCCACAAAATAATTGTACCAATTTTTGCTTTATCATGAACTGAGGGATTCAAAACGTATACGATATTAAAAAAAAGATCATGATATTGAAAAGTCAATGATATTCCAATCTCTGATTGGAATGTGGTCTTCCAATCAGAGATCGAAAACGAAAAGTTGGTGAGCTCCACTCTATCCATCTGTGAAAGATGTAGTTTAGTTCTAAATAGTGGAATGAAGATATGATGTTATACTACGAATTCGAAACAGATTTCTCTGAAGAGCAGAAATCCATTATTCCGATTAAACCTGCTGAAAGCTGTTAATTTCATTGGTCTCACATTTAAATTTATAACGAGAAGCGAACAGCTTAATTTTATCGGCTTTGAGAGCACATTTTGAGTACACAAAGCTTCAAATACCAGCACACAGAAACGGTCGCGAAAAAACGAGGTTCAAAAACAGAGCTCACAGGCAGTCAGATTTCCTATAATTTCAATCAGAGATTGTTATTTTGATCTGATTTTTGCTCATGAAAAACTGATGATTCGCATGTCGAACTAGTTTCCACGATCGAGAAAAAACTTGAACGAATGAACAAAAATGTCTCAAGGGAGATAAATGATCTCAGCTCTGAGACGCCTCATAAACTGCGTTGTTTCTCCGAACGCTTTCGGAACCACTTTCAAAGCTTACAGCGATTCAATCAGTTTTCCATTCAATTTCAAAATAATTAGGATTGAAAAAAGCAACAAAAAACCGGATAAACTGGCGTGATGGTATATTCGACGCTGCAGCAATAGCTGTGTTCTAAAATTGCATAAGAATTCTTCCAAAATCACTGCAACATCAAGCTCAAGAAATTCGTATGTCACAGTACATTGAAAGTACTCATGCGAAGTTGGATTTTAGTATATACGGTTCTTTTTGAAGATACTCTGATTACTCATTTTTCTTTTATATTTCAGTTTCTACGCAGGACAATTAATTTACAATTTGAGTAGAATCTTGTTTTCTCGTTTTTGCTCTTGTTTTTGAAACAGACTTGAAATTGCTCACCATAATTTGAATGGATTTTTCTGTTTTCGTCAGAATTAATCACCTTCCGTTTATTTTTCTAAATGATGATGAGCTTTTTATCGAACAAATGAAGCCGTTCTTTCCATTCGTTTCTGAAATTTTGATTTTAATTTCTGTGCGGAACACAGCTTCGTGTTTCTGTGCAGAACACCCACTGGCCTGTGTAACTAGAGATTATCTTACTAAGATCTGGCAGTCGTCATTATTTTATTGAACTCCACAGAACCGTTGTACCAACTTTTGCACAATCATGAAGTCAGAGAGTCAAAACATGTATGATGATATTGAAACGACTATTTACCGAAGAAACTTATTCGCTCGAATGAGACCCGCGATCTGATGTCCGTAGAGTCGACTGTTCCTGTCGTATCTCTTTGTAACCAACGATCTTTTAATTATCTGTAATCAAAGACACGTATACACGCTAGGAAAAAGCACACCGTATTCGTGATTTTCTCGTTGTTTGATTACTAACCTGGAAATTGAAACGTCTTAGAGTTAAGTATTCGGCCAAAATGTCCAGCATCATGACCATTTGAGAAAAAATTAGTACTCGATGGTTCGTCTCGTACAGCCGCACAAGCAGCTTATCCAGCAGCCAAAGCTTGCCACCTCCTTTCACTATTTGCTAAAAAAAATAAACATTTTTATAGAATAACTACATACTATCAGCAATTTAAATTCAACAGCAACTTATTACTAATTACAAACACTCGTGCCGCGGACTGTTATGAAAAGCAAATGAATAGACTCAATTTCTGAGGTGTTTATTTCAACCAAGGCATAATTCGGACTAGCTCTTAATTTAATCACCGAAATTGAGGGGGTTACACAAAGAAAATTCTTCGATTAAATAGTTAATTTGCCCAACAATTTCCGAGGACTTTTCCAACCAAATTTTCAAACCATAAAAATTAAATCAGCCGCAAATTACTAAGATAAACTTTACTATGAAAAAAACAATTCGCTAACCTGAAGTTTCTCGTCGTCTTTAGGCTCATTCATCGGGTCCAAAGGTCGGATCAACCACGGGTGATTGCAGCATTTTTTCAGATCAACAATTACGTTCAGCAGACTGTTTGTACTGCCCTTCAATCCTTTATTTAGAGCCTCGAAATTTCGAGTTAGAATCCACCTAAAGAGAAACATTTATTTAAAAAATAATCCTGATCAAAAGGACCTGTAGACCTGTTTCAAATTTCAAAGTCCTTTAATCGATTAAATAAACCTTTGAGAGAAACAAATTACTATATTAAATATCTCCCAAATCGTAAATGAAACATGATTAAATTGATATTTGAGCAAGTTGAAGTTTCAGCACTTGGACCACATTCATGGCTTGCAGAATATGTAGAGATGAAGCGGTAAAGCGATGCATATTTTTTTTTACCATGAAACGGAAAAATTACTAATTTATATACTATCTTGTGTTGCAATCTGACAGTTTCAATACCCTATCTTAATACAGAAGTCTGAATACCCATCTTAATACAAAGGCTGCGGACCCCCCGAACCCTATCCTTTATTTAAATCATGAGTATTTTCAGGTTAACCCCACCCTGAAATACACATCAGATGAAAACCGAGCAAAACATGTAAATCCGATTGGCTGATATATATTCATTGGATGTTAACGTACAATGCGTTTTTAGCGAGCTATAATGAAGCGAGCCCTGATTCGAGCTATAAAATTCACTCTGGCCTCAAGACGCTCTTAAGTGAACAAAACGAAACGTAGCTCTTTAACTAATCCCCCTCACCACTTTTGCTAACTAGGGGAGATGCTAGGTACAAAATTTACATATGCTTATTGCATAATCATTGAATTATTTCTTTATAGGCGTGGTAATTCGTTACTAGGTGCCCGGGGGGTTAATTAGAGAGATCAAACGAAACGATTGACAATTAAATTATAGTCAGCTGAGACAATTGCCATTCGAGAACATCATCTCCCAGAAATCTTCAAATTACTCAAAAAAATTGGGGCTGTATATCTTAAGCAAAAACAATTTTAGGCAAAAATAAAAATGTGTATTTTAGAAAATAAAAATATATTGTATACTTTAGCGGTTATCCCCTCATCTATTCCCTATACGGTATTAACAAGAAGCGATCAAAGACTAAAAAGCAGTGTCAGTTTTAGGTCGCCAATGGGCGCGTGTAACCGCTTCGAGGTGCTAATCGGCTCTACTTTTCGTAGGTGGAATCCCTCATACGCGAAGGAGCGAATGCGCGAAAATAAAAATCAGCCAATCAGATTTCAGTATATTGGGACTGAATATTGATTTTGACCTTGGTCCTAATTGTTGGTCCTGATGTTAACTTGGTCCTAAATGAATAGCAATTGCTACATTTTAAAAACTGACTTTCGGCTAATTTTGTTTTCGGTCCTTTGCCCACGAGATTTTTTTCGCCCATTCGGTCCTTCGCGTATGAGAATAGCCCCCCTTTTCGTATAGTCCTACCCACTGTTGGCAAGCTCGCAACGTTGACGCGACAGCAGCAGTCACTTTTTGCTTTTGATTTGCTGTTCGAACGCTATTTCGTGTATATGGAATGCAGCAACCGAATGACGCAATTAATCGATTATGATTACCGCTTATAAAATATACACTTGTTATCAAAATTAATTTAATTTATTTCTCATTTTATTTTCACCTAATATAGTTGAGCCTTATATACAATTCCTAGCCCCAAAATTTAAACCCTCTCTAAATCTTACGGCTCTTTGCCACACGGAAAAAGTCGGAGATAAAAATGATCGTACTTGTAATACTGTTTCTGTATCTTGGACATGTCCACACGCAGTATTTGCTCCACTTTGGCGGGTAAACTTTTCTCGACTTCTTTTTTCAACCGCCTCAGCATGTATGGTTTAATGGTTTTATGAAGTCTGGAGTAGCCATCTATTCCCCCTCTACTTGGTTGATTTTTTTCTTCGAATTCGTCCCAACTTTCGAACCTATAAAAACATTTAAACTATTAAATTTAGCAAGCCGAGTTGTTGAAAATCAGGGATGCGAAACATCGAAGTTAAGAAATTTTTTCAACATCGGAACTTTTAAATTTGTTTGATATTTTGTACCATATTTTAATAATTAGAGTAACCTTCCATTTGAACAAAATTGAATGATCGCACAAAAAGGTTAAGCATTCCGGAAAAAACATAGATAATAAATGACAGCTTTTGGGTCTTATTCAATTGTTTTCGATCATCCAAAAACCGGCATTTTAAAGCGCAGCGTCGGCTTTGCTTAGGCTGTGAAACTCATCCATCAGCCGGTTGTCTTGATTTACTTACATCAATTTGTTTAATTAATAAGCGTTATCACTAAAAGGACGTGGTCCTGTCAATGTGCATCATTCAGAACAAACTGCTACTTCAAGGCTGGCGAGACAATTAGACTGAACGAAAGACTCACTAGAATCTCTAAAACAAGTAAAAGCCACTCAGACACCTAACACGGTGGTGTCATCGCTAGCTTTCGAGTAACAGATTGAGTTAGAAACATAAAAAAAAACACCTACGATAAAGGCAAAGACGTCATTTCATTCGAGCAATTCCTTCATGTTCAGGTGATAGCCACTGATGTAAATATTTCAATGCTTGTTAACTCAATGAATGTCGTTTATGGGGATGTCAAAATCCAGCATTTGATTTTGTCTCTGATGCTAAATTTAGACCCCTACTTCTACGTCTACTCTAAAGCATGCATTTAGTTACAATGGAGAATCTGAGCGGCGATTTTAGACTTCCTTACAAAGTCAATTGGTTTCCTGAATAACTGCAACTCGATATCAACCCAACTAAAGATGCACTATAATAACCTGACAATTTTTATAAAGCGCTTGACCGTTGAAACCCCGTTTGGCTATATGCCACAATCGACAAACAAAAGGGCAGTTTGACTTAGGTACAGGTGAGCCAAGAGAACATGTTCCCGAGAAGAACACAAAATTTAGCAACAGCAACTAGATTGACAGAATTGCGGGCGACCGGTGGTACAGCCGATATGAGGCACAATTTCTTTGCACTAACATCCACCGATCATTCTAGATGTCACATGCACAGATCATTCTAGATGTCACTCTTTCAGTACTCAATTATATAGCGGGCGGCGATAGCCGTCATGGGGAAAAAACGTCTGCGAGGGCTTTGAATTGTTCTTTAAGCTGCCGGTTTAACTTAAACCACCAAATACGAGGGGAGGGTACTACGAAGACATGGTCGATGAAGCTTAGCTTTTATTGAAATTTTTGATTTCAAACGCTGTCAAATTTCCTGGTATTGTGTCATTTCTAAAAATCGCTTCTTTACAATGAGATCGATGTCATTTTGGCTCCCTAGGCATGTCAAAGCGTCCACGACTGTTTTTAAATCGCCGAAGAAGAGGTCCAATGGAGAGAAGCACGTGAAGAATGTCTTTCTTATGCATATTGATTGGAATTCATTTTGGGCAGCAGTTAGAAGCGAGTAGTGATGCTCTTCTCAGCGCTATTTGGAGCACCCTGCAGCAGATATCTCTTCAGCGAAGTCGAAGTCAGAGTTGGTTCTCGTGAGTCGAATTTGGAAAAAGCTACCTGTGATGAGAACTACCGCTTTCAACTAACGACAATCATCTCTGACTTCGATTTGACTGAAAAGACTGCTTTAGGGCAACTCATTTAACGTTTGGTTTTTGATCGTCCGGAAATGTAAGTGATGACATGACCCAGACAACCAAAAACACAACAGGCAACAAAAAAGAGTCATAGTCGCACGATAGTCGTTGCTTGGAAGGCTTCTGTGATATGCATGTATGATCATAGAACAACTTTTTCATGTATGTTCTTGAAACAGCATTAGTCCCATACCGACAAATGTTCTTGCCCGAATCTCTATGCACGTTATTATAGGCAACTTCTACAGAGGTGCGCTGTTACTGACAGCGCTGCTCCAGAAGTTTTTCACCTTGTCCCGCTTTGGCTTTGTAATGGCTGTTGATTGTGCAGGGCTGTTCATTCTGTAGTTGAATTGAATTATGGCTAAATAACTAAAGAGCACAACAGTTGATGAATTCAAATCATTTTCTTTAATTTTAGTTTTCTTCACATGATGAAAAGCAAGACCAGTTTGAAAATTGAGTTAAATATTTACTGTAAAGCAAAACTTAACGAAAATTAGCACCCGCTTCTTTTACCGCGAACACAGACATGAAATATTGCCAAAGTTTCTACAAATGGTCCTGAGAAAAGCTGCGTTAGGCCCGGAGAAAAGTGGCCAATGCATACTGCAATCTCCAATTCTTACGCCCAATTTAATGCTTCACTCCCTCAGCTTCAGTCGGGTCAACTGTTCTCAAATTGTCTGATTTAGATTAAATTCATGTCAAGACTTCTTTGCTCAACCTTTTTCCTAAATAACTAAGTCCAAACCAAACCAAAATATTTTGTCTGATTAATACAAATTAAATAAATACTCTACATCGCTGCAAACTCTACGTAACTTAAGTGCGCGGCACGCTTCCTATTGCAATGTTCAGCTTAGTAGTCAGACGAAGCTAATTAAATTTCAGTTTAAATTATCTAGTATCTGCGTTTATTTTATCATATTGTCATATTGACTTGTACCCGGTTGCAACACCCTCATTTTTCGAGAGGGTCGTCAGTTACAGATTAAGCTATTCATCCGCTCGCTCTATTTGGAAATCGATATAGTTCTTATAACTAAAAACAATAGCAATTTCATGCACCATTTCTTGCTCGCATTTGAGAAATTTTGACGGCATCTGCAAAAATATTCTTGGAGAATGACCTTGAAAACTCAAATGACAAAAAAACTGCCAAAAAGACAGATGGGATAGTGTTAGTAAACTCAGAGAAACTGAACTGTTATTTTTTGTCAACTTCAAATAGTTTCAAAGAAAAGAAGAAAATAATGCATCGTCATTCAACTCGGGGACGTTCCCCGATTCTTGAATGCCTAACATTGTTTAAATATAAATTCGCCAAAGTTAGAAAACTGGATCATTAGGATTTTTTCCGGTTTCAAAACCTAAACCAACTATCGTAATAAATTAAACGGTATCTTCTGCCTCATTTGAAATTCTAGAGCGAAAATTGCCATCCTGTGCCTTAATAAATTTTAAGCGTACTTAGAATAAATCAAAAGCCAAATCCCAAAAAAAAAAAAATTGGACTAGAACCTTAAAAATCATTAAAAGAAACTAGCAGGGCAAAAATAGCCGAACGGTTTCGAGCCACGTACATCCAGATTTTGAATTTTTCACCTTAACTGCTGCCTCATCCATTTCTCAATCAAATATTCCCTCATACATCCTCGTTAGAAAATTCCAGGCAGCAATTGAATAAAGTGGATTAAACACGTTATCAAATAGCTTCAGCAGTATTCATATATACTACAATGGAACACTAAGATGTGCGAGTTCGGTGGGGAAAAAACCGAACTCGTAGTATCACAAAAGCGTTTTCTTGTAATAATAGGTCTTAGCCAAAGACAATTGGAAAAATTTGAACAGCTAAGGATACCAAAAAAAACGCCGGAATTGAAAATTCCCATAAAAACAATTCCGTGATCAAACCAGATCACCCTGAGAAAACTGGGTGATCTGGAGAAACGGTTATTTACTCTGCCGCTGTGATTGCCATTGCGCTTGTCGTATCCATGGCATTTTACTATATTGTTATAAGAGTACATCTTCCCTTCCATTGTCAAATTAATTCGAAGAAAAAGTCGGAAATCAAACCAATAAAATAAAACAAACAGCACTTAAAAAAACTTCAACGCAAGAAAACAGAAAAAAAAACTTCGTTTTTCGAGGAAAAATATTTGAAATTTCAACAATGATTATGAATTTCAACAAAGATGATCGGCACTTTTTTGACAAAAATTAAATGAATTTGAGGACACTAGACCAACAGAACGTTTTTCAGTCCCGCAAGAAAATCTTAAAAATGACATCTTCTTAGGAAACTACAATAGTAAAGTTGTTCAATAGTAAAGTTTTCCTCTAATAACAAGGAAAATGAACTGAACTTGGAAAATAAAAATCAAACCGCAAAAAAAAACAATTTTGAGATTGTAAAAAATAAAACCTCTTCATGAAAACATAGCAAACACACAGTTGGAATTGAGTCATGAATGCAAGGAAAAAGACGTGAAAAAAAAAACAACTTTCGAATTTCAAAGAAAAAAGGATATGAACTTAAAACTCTTCGATTTTCTAAAACAAAATATGATTGACACTTTTTTGATAAAACTGACCCAATTTGACGAAAATGGATAGATTAATAGGTTTATTTATAATTCCGCAAGAAAATCTTAAAATTAAATCCCCTTTCGAAAATAGAGGTCGCCAATATTTTTGTGACCAATACACTTTTGCTGTTCAATAGTAAAGTTTGACTTCTTTCACACAAAAGCCGAGTAGTAAACTAAGAAATCAATGCCAAACCACGCAAAATCAAATTTTGGCATGACGAAATTTAGATGTCTCCTTAAAAAATCAGCCAAACCTATATACAAGTGTTCGAGACTCTTAATGAACAAAATCATCGCGACCTATTCAAATGCCTTTAATATATTCATTCCAAAAACAACGTCATCAGATTTTATTAAGAAGTTTATCACTCACAACACATCTTTCACGTGTCTTTCCCCTCTTCTATGCTTATATCACTCAAAACAATTTGTAAAAAAATTATCAAATAATTTTTGGCACCTTTCATTTTAATCAAATACTAATAATTCCTCCGTCATTTTATTAAATTATCTTAGAATTTAACACACAGGCGAAGTTGCGCTTCGCAAACTAAAGCAAAAAAACAACAAAAAGCAGCTGTAAAAGATTTTAAAAAAGGATCGAAATAAGCCTCGAATAAGCAAAAATTTGTTTTCTGAGTCTTACGTCCTTCCTTTTCAGCCACGAACAAAGGAATAGCGATTTTAAAAAATCAAGACCTATATAAGAGTCTTCACTACGTTCATTACTCTTAAAAACTAGCCACCAATAAAGCAGATAACAGATGCTATGAAAAGTTCAATGCTACAGCAGATCGAGATTATAGAAAAAATTACACCAAATGAGCGCTTTTGTTTGCGACTTAGCTTGCTTAACTATCTTCTTTAAAACTAAGACAGAAAAATAATTTTCAACATTGGCTTTTGATGTTTGCATTGCAGGCGGTCCAGGGTAACCACTCCGTTCAGATCAAAATTCTGACCACATATCTCATCAAAAAACTGACCATTTTGCTGACCTTTTTCATATCTGAACTACAACTATGAAAAAAACTTTTGTGAACGTTTAACGTTGAATTTCAAGGAAATGTTTATTTAAACATCGTGGAAATGACATTATTGGAGTCCACCCATCTCTCTGAAAAACAAAAATGTGATTTTATGCCGAGTTGCCAGAAAGTGAACCACTAGTAACAAGAAATAAAACAAGTATCATGGCAAATAAACATATATTCTGACTTTTTCTGACCTCCGACCAAATAACTGACCAAATCTGACCAAGTGGTAACCCTGAGGTGGTCAATTTCGTGCGAAGTGTAAGGTCAGCTTAACCAGGTTCTCACAAAAAAAAACTATAAAAATATATGCCTCATCTGGGCTTCTACCTGCCAATACCAAAAAAACTGCGGTTAAATTACAGAACCAAAAAAAGGGAACAAAGAAAAAAGGTTTCCACATCGAATCGAAACGAAAATTGCTTTCAAAACAAAAACCTTGCATCGTATGTATTACCTAACCAAACCATTTTAACTGGAAAATTTTCAATATCTCAGAGTATCACCTTGCTAAAAAAGCACTAAGTTCAGCAATTGAATTATGATCTAGGCAATTGAAAAATAATTTGACTCAATGATTATTCAGGCGTTAAAAAATAACTATATTTTGAAACGTTCAACTTTAGTAGGCCCAACGAAAGGAAGAAAACAGTCTCCAAGCTCAAATCCATGAAACTTTCAGCTCTTTAGGAATTTTACATAGAGGCAACGCTGCGCTTCTCAAACAAATGCGAGAACACGATAAAAAAAATCAGCTCTTTAAAAAGCAATAAGAAAAAGTAGAAACAAGACTCGAATTATTAAAAATTCGGCCACCTATCGGATTCGATCTGCGACCCCGAGATTATCCGTCTAACGCACTAACGACTCAGCCACGGACGCTTAATAAACAAATAACTAGCCACAGATAAAGCAGAGAACAGATACTATGAAATTTCCAATGCTACAAATCGTGATTATAGCAAAAGTGTCACCAAATAAGTGGACATCCACTTTCAATAAACTTTTATTTGCAAATTAGGTAGAAAAAAAAGTTCCATACTAATACACTGCGCTCGCAAGTGTTAATAAGTTCCTCTGCTGAGAAAACCTGCCTAATTTCTCGAAAACAATGCTCGGTTATGTTTTCTCAAAACAAATTAATATACGACTTTAGCCAATTCAAAACTCGTTTCCCAAAACAGAGAAGTTGGACTTTCACGAAAATCCTGGCGTTGGAATAGATAAAAATTTGTATATATTGCGCTAATGATTCACGGAACTTCCGAAATTACATGATAAATTTACTTAACGAATAATTTCAGTGCCAAGTACAGAGAACAGACTTGAGATAGTGTCAAACACAGCTTCTTTGAGGAAGCTGGATCAGTGAAACTTTATTCCGCAGAAAATAAAATATACTTTGAAGCAAGACAATCACGTAGCTCATAAGAACGCAACACTACAGGTGATGATGTTCTAACAACACAATTTCTGAACCACTCATCGTATTAAAAACAAGCCCCTCAAAACTTGAATCAAAAACGTTGCTTTACGATTTTGAAACACCATTTAGTTAACGATCCTAAATGAAATTGATTGAAACATTAAAGGCATCAATCTAACGCATCTTGCCCACAAAATGTTTATAGCTGACATAAAACGTTCCCAGGCTAAAACTATTGAACCTAATCGACCTTGGAAATTGAATTAGATAAAGTAAACTGAGAAAAAATTCCAAGTAATGATCTTAGGGTTAATTACAAAACAAACGGGTAAATATTCAAAATTGAAATGCCTATGTTCTCTCATTAGCTGGCCTTAATCCTCCAGCATTTGATTTACTTACACGGGTTTACTTCCGAACTACTGTAAAAAAATCGCGTTACCTCAAATCATGGAAACAAAAACTAGCCCAAATAAGTCAGGTGAAAAAACTGATCAAGCCAACGATTAAAGAATACTATATTAATCAATGAATATGTTCTCATTTCAAACTCTCAATTAAATGAAATTCGAAAACCCAGGCATTGCGATTTACATGCAGTTCAGTAACATATAAGCTTACTTGACAGGTTCTATGAAGTGCATCAGTGCCCACAACTCCCTCAAGGAATTCTGCAAAGGCGTCCCAGAGATGAGCAAGCGATGTTGCGTTGAAAACTCAATCAAGCTTCTGTACAACAACGAGTCGTCATTCTTCAGACGATGAGCTTCGTCAACAACAAGAACCGACCACTGCATGTTTTGCAAATAGCCCTTGTCTTTCATCAGTAGCTCATACGTAGTGACTATGGCATTGAACTTCATTCTTCGATTCTTGTGAACCCACTCATAATCTCGAATCTACATCAAAGTGAGCGTAAAAAATCATTAAAATGCTTAATCATAACAATTTTTTTCTGAAAAAAAAAACCAAGCTGACAATGTTTGACTTTCATCATGATGATTTATAACCCTTAAGACTCTTGCCACGCAAGTTCAAATTTTACGACTGAAGGCGAAAAGCTCCAAGGATTCTTCGGAATATTAACTTACTATGGCTCTGCTTTTCATGTCTCCAATGTAGGGAATCACGTTAATTTCTTTCGCCCACAATTCGAACTCTCTCAGCCAAGCTGCCATTGTTGACAAAGGGACTACGACAAGAAATGGGCCGTAAATTTTGTGTTGGTTGAATAGATAAGACAGAAAAGATATTGTTTGAATAGTTTTTCCAAGTCCCATTTCGTCCGCCAAAATGCAACTCCTTCCACTGAAATGTCAGATAAAAAAATGAAGGCTCTATAAAAGCTAACACGATGAAAAATAATAGCAGAAATGTACCTGCACCATGACGAAACGAGCCAATTCACTCCTAGAATTTGGTAATCACGAAGGATCAAACTTTCATTGCCGCCTCCGAGAAATAGGGGTTGATCCTCGAACTGCTGGAACTTGGGGCGTTGACTCTATATATCAAACCAATGACTGCCAATCAAAAACACCAATTAAGTCAACATAAATAAAGTAAGCACTTACCGATGGCGCAGACATCGGCAGCTTCTTTGATCCTTGACGTTCTTCGTAATTCAAAATTTCAGTCATAAAATATCGTTCCATTAAGTCAGCAGCCTCCCAAGTGCATTCAACATAGGGAAGTCCACTCCACTTAACAAAGTATTCTAGCTGTCCGGATTTATCTTTCCTTTTATCGACTATCCTCTCCGCTTTAGTATACTCTTCGTTTAAATTACGCTGAACATCTAACTGATACCGAGCTAACTCACGCGATTCTGGCTCCGCAGTTAAGCACCTATTCAAACAAACTGACATAAATTATACATCGCTCACAAAAATAATCCAACCAGCACAAGGGATAGTTTACCAATCGTCATATTCTCTGCGTCTTTTAATGTAGTTTTCAAGCTTTTTCATGCCTCTTGCTTTCTGCGCTTCCAGCGTCGCTAAGCTCTCCCATGTATTATGGAAATGCGACCAAGATTGCCATTTGATTAAAAATTGCTCTTCTGTTTCTTCACTGACAGCAGGCAGTTCATTGGAATAGATAGTCGTAAGGTGTCCAGTTCCTGATAAAAACCAATTTTTAAGAAAATTTTCATAGAGACAAGGCATGAACTGCGGTTTGGATATACAGACTGGCCTTCAGACCAAAAATTTTTTCCGGGATTTATTATAAACACGGAAAACCTCAAAAACAACAAATTTCTGTGCGGAACACCAAAATTTCTTTGCGGAACACTCCAATGCACGTAATTCACTCGATCGGCCAAATAATTCTGTAGAGAATCAACAGGCCAATTATCATGCCAACGACGAAGACCACAACTTTTATTACCTCAGAATGCATAAAACTTTCTGAAACTTCCACACAGCAGAAGAAGCAAAGTGTTCCATGGAATGTCATACAATGGATCTGAACAAAGTGGCAAAAATGCACTTAGTTTTTCTTTACAAAAAGCCCTATATTATAAACTATTAATTAAGTTGATATTAAACAAGGTTTTCCCTGCCGTTCAACACGGCTCTAAGAAAGCTAGATATCTCGCTTTACAATCGGACACCGAATACAAAACCCAACTAAGAACTTCAACCTTGAACAAACATAGTTTCAAATTACCAGGAAGCAGCTCTGCGTGGCAGATACTATTTAAACCGATTGACGTGATACAATTTTTTAAAAATTCGCTGCATACGCTTATAAGATTTATTGACGGTTTACACAGCGAATGACACAATTTTTGGATACGCGCCCAAATAACGTTCGTAATGGCCGTGCTTGAGCTCTTCAAAACCCGGCACAACAACATTGAAAAACGTACTAGCAGAGGAAACTGGAAAACTAAGCGTGTCAAGGAAACTGCATTAAGACCGGAACAAAATAAAAATTGCAAGCAACAATTTCCAAACTGGCAGCATTAAGACAAGCACCAAACGGTATTAATTTACTGAGACTTCTCGTTTCGACCTTTGTGCGAATAATTGAATTGAATCAAACACAACACAAAATTGACACCCAAGAAAACTATTGACTTTGGAGTAGAGAGATGTGAAACTGAAGAACACAAGGTTTGCACAAAATGCTAAGACAAACATGAAATTACAGGTTAATGAAAATTGAGCTCCGAAAAAGGCCCAGAGAAAACGATATATCGCAACAGTGAAAACCACTTATAGCTTTTTAACTTTTTGGTGCAATGGCCTCTTGGAAAACCTGCAATTACAACAAATTCCAACAACGAATCAAATGAAACTGTTGAAAAATCAACAGGAAAAACACAAATGTGACGATGATTCAAAACAAAATTTTTTCAAAACCAATTTAAAAACTGAAATCTTAACGTCAACTTGGAGTCTTGCAAATTTCTTACAGGTAATTCCAAGATTGAAACAACACTGAAATGTTTCTTTGTTAACACGATGGCCTTCGAGGTAATGACATGACACAAATGTGAGGTGGAGATTCATGTGAGCAGCTTTCAGCAGCACTGAAAAAAGTAAAGCTCGAGCGCTAATTGATGTCAGAAACCATCTCGTCAAATCAATTAAAACGGAGTACCTGTTATTTACGGCTTTTGTTTGTTCAATTGTAGCTTATTTACTCAGAACCTTTGACACTATATTGCTTAAATATGAATTGTCACGCCATGATCGCATATATTGTGTTCTCAAAAAAGGTATACTTTAGTCAAGATCACTAATTTTGTGTGCAACCAAGACCGGTTGCCAGCTTAAAATTAATATGATATTTAACTTGTAAAATGTAATTTTGCTCAGATAGATTTTAAGCTATCAGCTTTGTTAAAGAGTGTCTGTGGCGGAGCACCCGAAGCGCATGACCTTGCATCCAGCTCATGCTCTGTTTGGAGTGTTAAACCGATGAGCATTCAATCAACGCTGTTCCCACTGATGATCATACCTTCGTCCAGTTTCATCAGACTAAAAGCGTCACTAACGCGAAGTAACATAAGATCAGTACGGATCAGGCGGTGATTAAGAAAACCACTTGAAACTAGAGCAAGCTTATGGCGGTTATGTCCAGGGGACAAAAAACTCGAAACAGTAACGTAGATCTGCGCAAAAAACAGCCAGGAATACTGTTCTTGGTAAAATTTCAAACGCAATGCGTGTTTTCGATGAATGGGGAAACAAAGAAAGGAGGAAAGATTAACATTCTATTGCATAAATATGAACTCTCGCGGTAGGACTTCACATCTTATTTAAATTTAGTGAAATTAGTATACGTTAGTAAAGATCACTAACTTTGAGAGCACATCAAGACTGGTTACCAGCTTAATATAAATAGTACATGACTTGTGAAATAACATTTTGAACAGAGAGAAATCAAGCTATCAGCTTTGTTTAATGGTGACAGCGACGGAGCGCTCCCAGCGCATGAACCCTCATCCAGCGCAGCCTGCTTTGGAGTAATATAAACCGATGAGCATTCAATCATTGCTGTTCCCACTGATGATGATACTTTCGGCCAGATTTATTAGACTTACCGTCTCGATCCACAGAAGCAAAACGAGTAGACCAGTACGGATATGGCAGTGATTAAAAACCAAACACTAGACCAAACTTAAGGCGAAACACAAGCTGATGGCGTCAATATCAGCGGTTAACGTCCAGACGGCAAAAAAGTCGAAACAAGGCTCTAGCGTAGATATCCGCAAAACACAGCAACATTTTCAAGGAAAGCGAAGCAAGACGGGAAGAGTGACGTTGCATGGATGAACTATGAACTTTCACGCCATCTCTCGTCTTGTTATCTTATTTTATTGATATTTGTATACGTTAGTGAAGATCATTAACTTTAGGAGCAACCATCAAGAACGGTTGCTAGCTTGATAAAATATTACATTTGACTTTTGAAATAGCGTTTAGAACAAAGATTTCGAGCTATCAGGCTTGTCAACTGGTGACAGACGGAGCGCCCCCAAACGGAATCTTCAGACACTTTATACAGAAACTTGTTAATTCAGTTCCATTACTCATCTGTTATTGGCTCGTTTGTCTGAATTTCTCCTTTTTGAAAGCTATTGTGTTATTTAAGTTAAGGTAAACTATCAATCAAAGTATCTGCCCTGCCCTATTAAAAAGCGTAGAGATAGAATAATCTATTTGTTTTAGCGTGAACACTTTGCGCAACTCAGAAAAATCAATTTCTTATAGTTACAGGCCTGAGAACACATGTACATCACTTCAAAATTTTGTCCGCGAGCTCAACATAGCACATAATTGAATCAACTTCCCACCTGTGCACTTATAGGCAATTTTCGCATATAATTTTTGGTGACAAAAGAGATGGGAAGATAAAAGAAACTCACGCTCTTATCTGACTAAAGCCCAAACTGATAGTGAAACTCATTAGCTGCACGGCAGTTCCTTCTTTCGAAAAAACGGAATATTTTGTAGGAAAAAAAATCAAGTCGAAAAAAAACGACTCATGAAGAAACGGTTTGTGACGGAACATGATCAAGAATTCGATACACGCAGCATGTTGAAAAAATTCATTTCCAAGAATGAGGTTTTCTCAATACCACTAAACTGCAGGGTTACCAGCGACGTCCTTCTAAAAACGTGCTAATTCACACACAATAGTAACAATTTCCCACTCTTTCCAGTTCCTCTAAGAGATGTCGAGCACAGACTGGCATAGCCAAGACGTAGTCCGTGCTAACGGTATCCGGAAGCGATGTCGCACAAAACCCATTTCAATTCTCTGATCAACTTGATTTAAACAACCAATTGCCCTCTTTCCAATTTCTTCAAGCGGACTCCAAGCACAGTGGCATAGCAGGAGCACAGTCAGTGCTAACGATATCTGGAAGCGATGTCTCACAAAAACAATTTCAATCAATTGATTAATTGACCTGATATAAGCTCAACATCTGCGGCTTGTTGTTGGACAGTTATCTAATCTAATCAATACTTGATGTTTTCATCGTTACATTTTTCAAACCTTGCAGTTATTTCAAGCACGAATAGATAAAACGGAAAGAAGGTTTGTCAAGTACTGTACCATAAGCTTCCGGGAGAATTGGAGCGTAGTTTTCCTTAACGACTCAACATCATCAAGATCTGTTGAACAGATATAATCAACAGCATAAACTCCCTGGCACTCCTGAATGATAATCTAAGGTCTACTTTTCACCAGGAACAATTTCCTTGACGTTGAAATTGAGATTAAATTGCACAGCAGCAGCATGTAATCTGAGCAGGTGTTTAGAACAAAGATTTCGAGCTATCAGGCTTGTTAAATGGTGACAGACGGAGCGCCCCCAAACGGAATCTTCAGACACTTTATACAGAAACTTGTTAAATCAGTTCCATTACTCATCTGTTATTGGCTCGTTTGTCTGAATTTCTCCTGTTTGAAAGCTATTGCGTTATCCAAGTTAAATTAAACTATCAATCAAAGTATCTACCCTGCCCTATTTAGAAGCGTAGAGATAGAATAATCTATTTGTTTCAGCGTAAACACTTTACGCAACTCAGAAATATCAATTTCTAAGAGTTACAGGCCTGAGAACACAGGTACATCACTTCAAAATTTTGTCCGTGAGCTCAACATAGCATATAATCAAATCAACTTCCCACCTGTGCACCTATATGCAATGTGCAATCAACTTATGTGCAATGTTCGCATATAAATTTTGGTGCCAAAAGAGATGGGAAGATAAAAGTAACTCACGCATTCTTATCTGACCAAAGCACAAACTGATAGTAAAATTCATTAGCTGCATGGCAGTTCCGTCTTTCGAAAAAAACTGCTTGTAAAATTTTGTAGGAAAAAAACCAAGCCGAAAAAAACGACTCATGAAGGAACGGTTGCAGGCGGAACATGATCAAGAATTCGATACACGCAGCATGTTGAAAAAAAAATCATTTCCAAGAATGAGGTTTTCTCAATGCCGCTAAACTGCAAGGTTACCAGCGACGTCCATCTAAAAACGTGCTAATTCACACACAATAGTAACAATTTCCCACTCTTTCCAGTTCCTCTAAGAGATGTCGAGCACAGACTGGCATAGCCAAGACGTAGTCCGTGCTAACGGTATCCGGA